GCCGTGGTGGTGGCCCGCGCAGCTTGACGTCTACCGGCGGCTCCGGTGTTGTGACCTGCCAGTACCACCTTCAGACCGGGCCTCTCCGCGGCACTCTGTGCCGCCGCCCGCACCCGAAGGCCCGCTGTTTCCGCCGCCTTGACGATCTCTTTCGTCGTCACTTTGGGCCGGCCCCGGACCTCCCCGACTGGCACAGCCTGCTCTGCCAGGGCGTGCCGATCTTTGAGTTAGACATGGATCAGATAGTTGCTGCTTTGCATGCTTTGTATTCTGACGCTTCTAGTGTTACTAGATCTTATTACCCTGTATACTCTAGCCTTGGCGTAGCACCATTGTGTAGCTTAGCTTCCCCTGCTGCGTCAGGCGTAGGACTACCTAGTTTGCCTAGCCTAGTCTCTGCACCGGCTCCGTTCCCGGCCTCCGTCGATGCTTCGCTGTCCTTCACTCTCGACTCCGGTGCCTCTGCCTGCTTCTTCCGCGACCGCTCCGCGCTCACGTCGCTTGCTACGCCTGCTGTTGTCTCTCTCGCTGACCCCTCTGCGGGTCCTGTCGTCGCTCGCAGTTCTACGTCCCTTCCCGGTCCAGCAGTTCCCTCGGGCTCCCTTACAGGTCTCCACGTTCCCTCGTTCTCGAGGAACATGGTTGGTGTCGGCTGTCTCCAGGACCTCGGCGTCACCACCACGTTCCCCGGGCACGAGCGGTTCGCTGTCTGTTCTGAGTCTGTCTCAAGTTCCCTTCTTCTGACGTTCCCCCGGGACCCGGTGTCCGATTTGTTCACCCTTGACACCGCTTCCCCCCCGGTTGGTGCGTCCTCCCAGGTCGCTGCAGCTTGCTCGTGTCGGTCCCTCACTCACCCGTCCCTTTTCTGGCACCACTGCCTAGGTCACCCTGCACTCCCACGTCTGTGTCACATGTCCGAGCACGGTCTTGTCTTAGGTCTCCCTGCGTCGCTCCCTGCCCTTCCTCCCTTGACTGCGCCACCGTGCACGCCTTGCGTCGAGGGCCGCCTCCGTCGCTCCCCTCACTCCTCCTCGCTGCGCCCTGCTATTGCCCCCCTTCAGACCGTGCACCTGGACGTTTGGGGCCCTGCCCCCGTCCCCGGACCGCGAGGTGAGCGCTACTTCCTTGTGCTCGTCGACGACTACACGCGCTACACCACAGTGTTTCCCCTGGAGCGGAAGGCCGACGTGCCCGACGTTCTTCTCCCGTGGGTCATAGCTGCGCGTCTTCATCGCGGTCTTCCCGTGTTGTGTCTCCACTCTGACCGTGGCGGCGAGTTCGCCTCTGGTCGGCTTGGACAGTTCTGTCGTGCGGAGGGCATCACCCAGTCGTACACGTTGCCGGACTCGCCACAGCAGAATGGGGTCGCTGAGCACTGCATCGGCTTGGTCATGGAGGTCGTCCGTACCTCCGTGATTCATGCCGATGCCCCCCATTTTCTGTGGTCGTTCGCTGTTCGCTACGCTGCTCACCAGCTTAACCTGTGGCCACGCTCCCAGCGGCCGCTGGTTTCGCCGACCCTCCTTTGGACCGGGTCCCCCGGTGACGCGTCTGCGTTCCACGTCGAGGGCTGCCTTGCTCATGTTCGTGCCTCTGGCACGGACAAGCTCACTGGTGTCTCTCACGTCACTCCCCTCCCATCGGTTGTCCCAGTTGAGGAGTCTGCCGACTCTGGTGGTACCCCTGGTCCGTCCTTGCCGCGTCCCCCTTCCCCGGTGCCTCCGCCCCCACTGTCGCAGTCGCCGACCCCGCTGCAGCCGCCGCCGCCGTCGCCGCCGCAACCGTCGCCACTGTCGCCGCCGCCGCAGCCGTCGCCGCTCTTGGCCCCTGGGGATGCTGGTGTTGAGGAGGGTGTTCGTCCTGCGTCTTCTGGGGGTGCCGCTGGTGTTGGAGGGGGTTCTCGCTCTGGGGGTGTTGGTTTTGGGGGTGTTGTTGTTGAGTGTTCTGCCGACGGTCGTCCTGCCTCTGCCGGTCCGAGGGTTCCGGCCCAGCCGTCGCCGCCGCCGTAGCAGCCGTCGCCGCCAATCCCCCCTCTCCGACTGCTCGGCCTTCCCTCCCCGGACCGCACGCCGGTGTCTCCCCACCGCCTGCTGACCTTCCTGTCTACGGTCCTCTGTTCCCGCCGCCAGACTCGTCTCCGGCCCGTCTTCCTCCTTGTTCCCCTCCTGTGTCCCCTCCGCTGTCCCCTGACCCTACACCTCCGTCTCACGTTTGGTCTCGCCGTCCCTCCCGTGCTCGTCCCGTCTCTCCTGTCCTTCCCACCCACCCTATGTTGCTCCGTTCCCACTCGTCTCGTCCTCCCCTCCTCCCGTTCCCTCCTCCCTCGTCCCTTGCTGTTGCACCTCCTCCGTTCTCTGACTACCACCATGCCGCTCGTCCCCTTCTCCCTCGGGTCCTTGCCTCTCTTGTTTACCGACCCTGCTGTTCCTGTCTCGTGCCTTGACGCGCTTGTCGCTGCTGTCGCTGACTTCGCCTCTACCCGCCGTCTTGACTACGCTACTGTTCTGGTCTCTGACCCTGCCTGTCCTCCGTCCGTCGGGGGTGCTCCTGCCCTTGGCAATGACGTCCTAGAGGACAGGCAGTACGAGCTTGGTTTCCTCTCTGAGGCTGCTCCTCATCTCTGCTCCATGCTATTAGTCCCTGAGGGTGACCCAAACGCCTTTGACATCCCGACCCCTCGCACCTACACTGAGGCCACCACGGGACCTTGGGCCTCTCAGTGGATAGCTGCCATGGAGCAGGAGATGGCATCTTGGAGGTCCACCGGCACTTACGTCGACGCAGTTCCCCCGCCTGGGGTGAACGTAGTCGATGGTCGGTGGCTCTTCAAGGTGAAGCGCCCCCCTGGAGAGGCGCCTGTCTTCAAGGCGCGCTACGTGGCTAGAGGCTTCAGTCAGTGCGAGGGGGTCGACTTCTTCCAGACCTTCGCCCCGACCCCGAAGATGACTACTCTTCGAGCGCTGCTACACGTAGCAGCACAGCGCGACTACGAGCTTCACTCCCTCGACTTTTCTACTGCCTTTCTTCAGGGCAGTCTACACGAGCAGGTTTACCTGCGTGGACCACAGGGCTTCACTGGTACCATCCCCCCTGGGACCCAGTGGCTTCTCAGGCGCCCGGTCTACGGCCTGCGTCAGGCTCCTCGCGAGTGGCACGACTCACTGCGGGCCACGTTAACAGACCTGTAATTCTTTCCGTCCTCTGCTGACCCCTCCCTGTTTGTGCGTTCCGGCCAGACTCCGTTCTACATCCTTGTCTACGTAGACGACTTGGTCTTTGCTACTGCAGACAGGGACGCACTGGCCTCTGTGAAGGCCGAGCTGCTGAAGAGACACACCTGCACTGACCTTGGAGAGCTGCGTCGCTATCTTGGCCTGCAGATCTCTAGGGACAAAGCAGCACGCACCATCACTCTGACACAGTCACACTTGGTGCGTCAGGTCCTTCAGAGGTTCGGTCTTCAGTTCTCCTCCGCACAGCCCACACCTCTACCTGTAGACCATGGGCTCTCCCGCTCCCGTTCCTAAGGAGCCCGTAGAGCCCAGTGGCCCCTACGCAGAGCTGGTGGGTTGCCTCATGTACCTGATGACTTGCACTCGCTCGATCTCGCATACCCTCTCAGCATCCTGGCTCGCTTTGTGGCTACAGGCAGACACCGACCTCAGCACTGGCCTGCCGCTAAGAGGGTTTTGCGTTATCTTGCTAGTACATCGGGCATGGGGTTAGTGCTAGGAGGACGCAGGCCTGTGGTCCTTACTGGGCATACAGACGCTTCTTGGGCAGACGACTCGGAGACGCTCAGGTCGTCGCAGGGCTACTGCTTTAGCCTTGGTTCGGGTGCTATCTCTTGGAGATCCACTCGCTCGTCGTCTGTAGCTCAGTCCAGCTGTGAGGCTGAGATCTACGCTGGTGCCATGGCGGCACAGGAGCTCCGCTGGCTGACCTTCTTGCTCACAGACTTAGGTGAGCGGCCTAGCTCTGCCCCGGTCCTGTACGTTGACAACAGGGCCATGATACTCCTGTGTCAGGAGCCTCGGCTTGAGGGCAGAGTGAAGCATATCCAACTGGGGTACTTCCTCCTGCGCGAGCTACAGCAGCGCCGCCAGGCCTGTGTAGTTCACTTGGCCTCAGGTGCCAACACAGCTGATATCTTTACTAAGGCGCTTGCGCCTAAAGATCATCAGCGGCACTGTGTACAGCTTGGTCTTGTTCCTGTAGCTACTCACCTGTTAGGATCCTGATTATGTACTCTCTATTATATATGCTTATCAGACTGGCCTTGTGGCCTTACCTCCAGTGGCTGGACTAGTAGTGGCACCCTGGCTTGCTTTAGTCTTGTTTGTACCCTTGCTGACTGGTCTCCAAACCCCTGCCTCAGTGGTTGGACTAGTAGTGCCACCCTGAGCTGTTTGCTTGTTGCTTAGCTTCACCCTTTGTCTAGCCTAGGGGTTGTGTCAACTTATACGTGTTAGTTGTGTACAAGTTATAGGCTAGACTGGGGTATGTTTCTAGTGAGTACAACCAGCTAGTACTTGTTCTAGGTTTCCACTTCTAGTTATCATTCAGTTCTCACTTTAGCAGTTGTGCCACCCTGAGCTGCGTGCTTCTTGCTCAGCACTACCGTTTATCTAGCCTAGGGGGTGTGTCAACTTATACATACATTTGCATGTAGAATTTATAGGCTAGAATAGGTGTGTGTTCTTAGAGAGTCCAAACCAAACCCTATATCTCACGTGTTCCCTTTTCCTTCTAATCATTACGGTATTCTAACACTTATAGACTACATAGGGTTGTGCCTTAGAGAGTACAACCCACTAGGTTATATTCCATTGTATGCCATGGTTCTAGTCATTCGTTAACTTTGATAGAGCTACATTTTTATGTGCTCAAATTTGTTTTTCATAAAATCCCTTAGTTAAACCCTGGGCTTATAAATTTTTTTTTTTGGACTGCAAGCGCATGCCACTTTTGCCAGGTTTTTCCTACAAGCCCTATGCGCCTATATCTTGGGGATTATATTATATAATATATAACGACAACTGACCACCCTAAACAAGTGGTTTACTTCAATAGGAATGATCACTCAAGCGGTATATCCCTCTTGTGTATGAGCTCTAAGATCAGACAGAGGGTTGAAACTAGGGTTGGGGTGGGGTGGGGAGGGGAGGAAGGAGCTCAATCTGTACATGAGGACACTTCAGAATGAAGCTACACGCAACAAGAATAAGCAAAGCTGATCTTTGACGTGAAAATTGCTAGTCTGGTCGGAACTCGCTATGTGGCCGCTAATGGTGTTCTTGTGTACTTGTACTGCCATGCCAATGCTCGCAGTATTCACTTCTCCTGTCAGCCAGGTCGGGCTGAAGCGGAACAGGCGAGCCGAGCGGACCCATGGTGATAAGGGCGAGAGACCAGGCCACGAGAGCAGGGCTGGGAGTGTAAGAGAGGGGGAGCCCGTATATTGGGCGAAGGCACGGCGGCAGGGGTGCGAGAAGGGATGGAGAGGTGCTAGAGCTGCAGGGTCCAGGAGAGCACTTTGGCGTATTCGATGATGGAGCGCATGCCCTTGACCCAGATCTGGAACCACTCGTCCGTGTGCGCGCGCATCATGATCTGCCCCTCCGACGTGTACATGCGGAACTCCAGCGCGCCTGCGTCCGTCGCCTCCGTGCCGTACAGATGCACTGCGCGCGCCGTGGGAGGGCCGGTAAGCGGGAGAGGGAAAGAAAGGGAGGTTGGGCGGTAGTGGGGTGGATATACGAGGACCTACTCAAGACAGAATGCCCCGCGCAAACGCAGCTATTCTCGTTTCCGCACAAGCGCCGTTGACGCTAAAGGCAGCCTAAAACCGTGCACAAGGCGGCGCAAGGTCACGAGGTCACGCGGCGACGAGGGACGGGAGAGCGGCAGCAGGGCATGGAGCGCCGGATGGCATGCCGTGCGACGTCACGGCATGGCGTGTTGCGGCATATGGCACGGGAATGCGTATGGCACAGGAATGCGTATGGCACGGGAATGCGTACGGCACGGGAATGCGTATGGCACGGGAATGCGTATGGCACGGGGCGGCAGGGCACGCACCCGGGGCGGACGTGCCCATGGAGAAGAGGCGAGGCTTGTCCCACTGCAGGCGAATCTGCGCACGAGCAACGCGACGAGACGGGCGGGAGGGGTTGAGGGGGCAGGGATGACAAGAGAGGGAGAGTGGTGTGCGTGAGGGAGGGTATGCACGCGGGAGCCACAGCGACAGTGCCATCTACCCAACGGCTGCACTCATCGCCGCGCAACACGCTCAGCACCACCGCCTCTGCACGTACCGCGCCGGTGCGCTCGACGTAGACGAAGTACGTGCGCTGCTTCGTTCTGCCGGGCCGGCGCCGGCTCTGCTTCACCAGCGAGCACCCCTGCTGCAGCGCCGCCAGCCAGAAGCCGACGGCGACGATGTCGTACTTGCGGTTATCGCCCACGTGCACGGCGGCCGTCGTTAGCGGCTTCTCCTCCACGGACGACGCCCACGACGACACCTCCTCCTCCTCCTCCTCCTCGTCCCACCGCGCCCTCGCCCCTCCGCGCGCGCTGCACTCCGCCATCGAGCAAGCCGGCTGCCGCAGTACCGACGACGCCGGCGCCGCCCGCTGCACGGTCGTGACCGTCGCACCCGGCGTCGCCGTCGTCGCGGGCGCCGTCGCCTCCGACGCCGCGGGGTGCGGCGGCAGCGGCCAGCTGTGCTGCCGGCGGATCTCCTTGTGCGGCGTCGGCTCCGCGCTCTGCGACGACCCCTGCGGCGGCTTGTCCGCGGGCCGGCTGTGATGGGGCGGCTGCGGCGTGCCGATGCCGACGCTGCTGCTGTCGCCGCGTGACGCGACGGCAGTGGGGCTGCCGTGCGACAGGGTGTGCGACGGCGAGCCCTGCTTGTGGGCGCGCATGAAGACGAGGCGGTGCGCGGCGGAGGCGGGCTTGGAGTGCAGCAGCGACTTGGGCGACTGGCGCGAGTGGTTGTGCGAGTGGCGGCGATGCAGCACGGGCCGGTGCGACGCCAGGTGGTGCACGCGGTCCATGCTGTCCTCGCGCACCAAGCGCGCGTGCGCCATGGCGCCCGAGCTGTGCGGGGGTGGCGGCACGGGCTCCATGGCCATAGTCATGGTCGACATGGCGCGCGGCTCGCCTTCCGATGGCCGCGACTCACGAGTTTTGCGGGGTGGCCCGTGCGGCGAATGCGGAAGAGCGCGTGATGTGGTCCGGCGACGGGGGGGGAAAGACCTTGTGGTGGGAGGTAGTGCAACGAGACTGGCCTCCTAGGGATGAGCTCCTAGACTTTTCTCACGGAGATCCTATTGACTGGCGCGCCTGCTACGATGCCCAACACATCCATCGCTCACCGATCGATGACGGCAGCGTCGCAGGAGCCAGTGGTCCTAACTATCCCTCGATTTCAGCGGCAGAGCAGGGGACGGAAGGGAAGGGCGATTTAGCAGCACGACTTGTGGGTAGGCAAGTCATGATGCGAGCTGGGTGAATTGCGGTGGGGCCACCATGGTGGTGCGAGGTGATGCGTGCCGAGCGAGACCAGGGCGAAATTCCCGCAGAAAAGAAGCAGCCCGTCTCATGACTGCAAGAGGAAGGGAATTGCAGAGCGCTGGTTGTGCAATCGTCGCCAACGTTCAGACTGTCTCTCCAAGGCTGCAGCAGAGCTGGTGGTGAGGCGAGGCGAGGTGGCGACACAGGTTGAGGGATTTGAGGCATGGCAGGGTTTGACTTGCGTGCGCACATTTCGCCCCTCTCTCCGCCGTGCCTCCAACATGCCGTGCGCGTCGCCTTTCGTGGGCTTGACAGGCGGTGGGTGTAAATTGATGGTGTCGATGTTGACGCGTCGCCACACGACAGGTGACGTGGCTGCGCCAACCACTCAGAGACAACACGTCCGGAATTTCCATCTGCTGAGGGCCCGTTCCTAAAGCTTGTCATCCCTTCTGACACGAAGCTCTCCACGTTGAGGATCTTGACACGTCAACAATTGCGATGATGCCATTCAGAACCGTCAACATCTTGTGTCACAATATTTGACACGATGTAGGAACACGCACTGAAGCTTATTGTTCCGGAGCGTGTCCTAACGTTCTGAGTTGCGAACTGGTAGCGTTCTTCGCATTACTGGCGTGTCACTAAAGGCGGACTTCCCCTACCATCCGTTTAATACTACATGACGCAAACAATTTAGGGGGTGAATTCCACAACTTCTGGTACACGTGTGGAGAGTTCGTGCCTTCAACTTCGATATGGGGGAATGTCGATATGGGGGTGATAACCACAGACGTCTCAGATTGTTAATCCCTACAGTGATAGGTAGCGAGCCCCCCCCCAACAATCATATGAACCCCACCTACAAAACCCTAAATGCCATAACAAACCGAGAATGAACCACGAACACACCCACCCAAAAGGAACCTGTCAGCAGGAAAACCAGCAAACACATACCCAAAAGCAACCCACATACAAACCCCCTTTCCCGAACACTCCATCGAACAAATAGGGCGCCTCTACCCAGAGCGCACCCCACTCCCCTCCCGTGTCATCACAATATCGCTCCACAAGGTCAATGTCAGGGCTCCCCATAGAGGTCGCCGCGCGCTCTCGAATGGGCCGCACTTTGTGGGTCAACCCTGGCGAACAAAGTTTGTGAATGCCCGATACATTCGCACACCAGAGATACTCCGTTTCACGACCGTGCCATTTGTTACCTGCGACTGCGCGGTATAGAAATCGTATGCCTAACATAAGGTCAACCAACTACAGTACTTCATTTATATATCTACTGTAATCCGCTACCATATATAGCACGGATAGTGTATATCTAAGTAGTGTTACGAAACCGACCAATCAATTCGAGGCGAAACCTTGTGCGAAATGCGAGGGGCAGAGCAAACCTCGTGCAATTTTTTATGGATGATATAGGTCCGATAGGACCTTCAGAATTGAAGGCTCGGAGAGCGTTTATAGTGAAAACTTTGTGATTGTATAATGAAACGCAAACATCGTGTGTCGAATATTGGTAGTAGCGTGGAAAACAATACAATGAGCAACATCAAAACAACAGGGGCTTGATTTTTCTAGGCCTGGAGTACACGGTCAAGGCTCGGCAGAGCCGAGACGTGTGGTTTGTAAATACGGAGCGCACATATTCTGGCATGAGACTGTAAGACGGGCGAAATGTATGCGACTCATCAGGAGACCACATTTGGGTGTTGCGATTTGGTTCGTGGCAGACTGCGCGGCAATCCGTAGACGCACCTAGTTTTTTCCAAGGACATTCAATCCTTCTATGATTCGAGGAACTCGAATCGGGGGCTGAGGATCTTCGCATGTTCGTTTGTCGGTTCGGTGAGCGGTCGGATGCTTGAGTTGGTTCGGTGACATGGTAATCTGCTTGTGTTGGCAATTTAAGGTCGAAGGAGTCGCACGTGGAATGACGGGCTCACATTCCAGGTGGCTGGTAACAGTAGATGAGTTGTAACAGACGTGATTATGGGGCTGGTGGCAAATGATCCACAGTAGCGAGGGCGATGTTTTGGGACTATGGGCAGTCGAAGGTTCTGGATGTCAAGTAGTAATAAGTCTCCTGCTTGATAGGTTATGGCTCGGCGGTGGAGGTATGTGTTGCGATTGGAAATAATATTCACGCGCTTAATAGCTTCGGCTGCTCGCTCACTGGCATTCTTTAAAATTTATGCAAACTGTTGGGCTGGGGTACGAGATTTTCGATGTTCGGGGTGACAGGCACTGTAGAGTTTTGCCTGTAGTTTAGGAAGAATGGGGACTGTGGGGTAATGGCTGACGGGGCATTATTATAGGCAAACTTGATCAGGGAAAGCGGTTGTTCCCGATCGGCCACATCATCGCACGTGACACGAATCAATTGCTCCATTGTCTGATTGGCCCGTTCGGTCTGTCCGTCAGTTTCGAGGCTGTAGGCGGAGGAGAATTACAGGCACATACCAAACTGGTCCCACAAGTTACGCCAAAAATTGCCGGTGAATTTCGTGTGACGGTTAGGAATGATGGTTGATGGGATACTGTGGAGTCGAACGACGGCTGGGATGAAGAGGCAGACTATCTTTTCGGCTGAGATATTGTTTTTACACATGGCGAAGTGAGCCATCTTCGCCAGCTTGTCCATGGCGACGAAGATCAAATCATTACAGCCGTCCATGGCAGGCAATTTCGTGATGCAATCCATTGTCACCTGCTGGCACCCACGCTCTGGTGGCGGAATCGGCTACAACTTTCCAACTGGCTTGTTCTTCGATGACTTCATGGTTTGGCAGCTTCTACACGACCCCATGTGCCGTTGCACGCCCCCTTCCATGTTGGGCCAGAGATAGTAACGTAATAACTGTTGTCATGTTTTTCCACTCCAAAATGCCCTAATACTGTACTATCGTGGGCTTCTTGTAGTAATAGCTCCCTTAGTAAACTATACTCTGGTACCGAGATGCGGTCATTCCCTATCTTTACATAATAGACTCCCTTAGCCATTGCGAGCTATTCGTACGATGTAAAGAATCTGTCAGTCTAGTACCTGTGGGTAAATAGTGTGGTCAATAACAAGTCTGAGCGAGGATGATGGAGTTGAGGTGGGCTGAAGGTCGTGAAACGGGGTATTGTGAAACGGGCCAAGGACAGGGGCTGAACATGGAAAAGTTTTGAGTGTTGAGAATGCAGCTTGCTCTTTATTCCCCCACCTATACTCTGTCCCTTTCTACAGCAGGTCAGTCAACGGTGCAGTTACCCCTGCCATATTCGGGAGAAATATCTGAATGTGATTTACGAACCGAAAAAAATGCTGTACCTTATGCAGGTTCAAAGGCGGTATAGGCAGGCCTTTACTGTTTCGATCTTATGCTGATCAATTTTGACGCCATTGGAGGAGATAAAACTCGAACTTGTCCTATAAAAATTCGCACTTACAGTGACAGAAAAAATTTCCCGAATATTTGGCACTTCGTAACTCATGCACATACTTAATATATATCTTGCATAGTAACACCAATTTTTTCAAAGCCTGTTACAACTTTGTACTGTTCTTGTTCCTTCGAAATCAGCTTGGATATTTGTAAGTCATCCAAGTAATCGGGGATGCAATTTATTCATCGATCCAGACAGTTTATGTCGAGCGGCAGTCTAGATCTACTTTCAGTTACCACTTAGGGTGCACACCCTCTTACACGACAGTCGTTAGTATAGGAGTTAGGGCAGGTGCATACCTTTGACATGAAAGCGATGAAACCGTTAGATGAGAAGCGCCGCGCTCGCATCTTTAAGCCTGTTGCGGAAGGGGCACTCGAAGCACCAAAAAGCTTGGCGTAGGCAAAAGTACCGTGCATGATAACGGGCTGAAGGAGATCGTCGTGACTAGTTGCGATGAGGGTGGCTCAGTGATGGTATGGGGATGCATGCCGTATGAGGGGGCGGGGTTCATGTGCAAGATCAATTTGAGGATGGATGGGCCGCTGTACCGTAGTATATTGCAAGATGAACTCGCTCAGATGATCGAGTTCTACAACCTGCCCCCCTCAGAGGTCATATTCCAGGGCGACAATGACCCCAAGCACAAGTCCCGTCTGGTGCAGGATTGGCTTGGGCAGCAAGAGTAACGGGTGCTGGAATGGCCCTCCTCCTCCTCGGACCTTAATCCGATAGAGCACCTATGGACCCACTTGAAGAGGGAGCTGGGCAAGTACGAGAAGCCTCCCTCTGGAATGTTGGAGCTATGGGAGAGGGTCCAAGAGGAGTGGGAGAAGATCCCTGCAGAAGTCTACTCAATCCTCCTTGACAGTATGCCAAGTAGGGTGAGGGCGGTGATTAGGGCAAAGGGTCCTCTTTAAGTTTGATGATTGTCCTCGGAACAAATTGTCCGGATGTGCTCTTAGTAAATGTTTAGGAGTTAGGCAAACTTGTACTATAACATTCTGGTTTTGAACGATTTGTATGATGGGTTTAGGTGCTCCTCTCAAAATGTATGCCCATTAAAGATTAAGGCTTAATGTTTTTTGAGTAGTGAGACTAAAAATGTTAAATTGTGCTCAACATCCGGACAATTGTTTCCGTCACTGTAGACCCCTTTCGTGAGCAGGCGATGCTCCTGCAGTAGCGTGAAAACTCCTTCGAGATCCTTTATAGCGTGGGCCCCAAATTGTGTGCTGCAAGGTTTAAGATTAAAACTTGAAACCCCACGTTTTGTGGGTGTCTTGTTTACGAAATTGGGGTTATGCACATCGCGGCACCTCATTGGACACCTGATTGGCTCAAATTATGAATGGAGGGTTTGGGTAGGTTGGCTTGCTGAAACTTGAAAATGGGGTCAATTTTCGGGGGGGGGGAAGGATAATGGCTTGGTTGTCCCTGCGGATCCGCTCCTAGAGTGGTTTATTTTAATGACCTGCAGCTTCGGCTGAGTTTGCTGATTCCAGCAACCTGACACCCACCCACGTCATGCCAACATCACCCTGTAACCAAGAGTCACTTGCTGACGTACCATCCCTAGCAGCCCGGATGAAGGCAATGGAGGAGGCATTGAAGATCTCCAACTAGGTACGTGCTTCGTTGTGCCGATGATATGAGACAAGAATGGACACAACTATGCAATATATGACACAAGACAAAGCTTCACCAGAATTTTCCGCAGTACTCGGCGAAGGGTGACGAACGGATACCCCTTTCTTCAGGTCTGCGACATGACGTGACAAGCAAGGTGGAGTTACACCATAAAAAAACTCGTTGAGTCCTGCCGGTCCAAGCTACCTGGCTGGACTACTGAAGACACAATGGCCACTTTGCTTTGACCCAAGTGTACGAGGATCGATGTGAGAAACAACTTGGCTGTTTACAATGAACGTTTTGTATGACACAAACCTTGTAAGCAGCAACAGTGCGAAGATCCGTTACGATGTATCATGATGTATCACTGTTGCGTGGACCTGCGATGGAGTGGTGGCACGCGACGCTGGCTTCTCCCCACAAACCGGATACACTGCAGCGAGTGGACGAGACACTCCAAACTTCGAACCAATAGGTGGGTAACTTATACGAGGCGAACTAGTACAGTCTGTTGCTGAAGTGGAGTGAGAGCCTGAAGCGTCATCTCAAAGCACAAAATGTCAGCTTTGTCGCGCTGCAGAAACTCCGAATCTGGCGCCAACTCAGAGCTTCCCAGGACTACAACAGTAGCTTCCTTGGCTTATGCGAGCAAGTGTGCAGAAGACAAAATCGACAAGTATCTCGCGGGCTGCGCAACGATATTTCTTGCGGGGCTTCGTCGAAATGACTCGTGTCGTGGAGCAATTGGATTGGCTGTGCAAACCACGTGCAGGTTCCTATGAGCGACAACACAATCGGGGCCCGGCGGAGCGCACCAACGTACACGCTGTCAGCACAACCACAACAATTAACCCATTCAGAAGGCATTTTTTTTGTTGCAACCGGCCAGGTCACCATGAAAGGAAAGACCAAAAGGAGAAAAAGAAATGGAGTAACAAACAGCAATGGTCCAGCTGGCATGGAAATGCCAAAAGTCAGTAGATGTGGGGCCTACTACTGATAGGACCAGTTCGCCCGAACGCAACGACCTTTATCGAGTGATAGGGCTGGTCAGTGCGATCGATCACAATTGGATAAGTAAAGAAGGAGCAACTGCAGACTACCCAGTATTATTAAAGGGTAGGACTCAAGGGGTCATTGTAAAAAAATTTGTGGATAGAGGGCCGTCGCACAGTTTGACCAATCTTGCCATGACCAAGAAGATTGGGTTACCCTTAATTCGGTGTTTACCTGAGGTGGATGCCCGCCTCATCGACAGCACGCCACTCGCTATCAGGGGCATGGTAGAGAAGCTGCACGTATGAAGCAGGGCTGTTTTTGTTTTTTTAGAGGATATGCTGGCAACTACACTCAACGGGACCGATGTTTTACTAGGCCGGTATTGGTTGGCACGAATTATCCCAAAAATTGATTGGACCAATGACGGTTGCACTATTCTGATGGATGAGAAGGGGGTCGAGGTGCCATGGTCGATGAACCAGAATGCAGGAGGGGTCACTCAGGTGAATGCGATTGCAATCAAGCTGGTGATATATAATGGCATAGACGTGTTTGCAATCGTTATGCAGAAGCCAGACTTGGCCTTGCCATCATTAGATTACGCGAAGCGCGAAGCTGATTCTGCGCTTCCCATATTCCAAAACGACATGCCCGAAGGGTTACCGCCATAGCGGCTAGAGTTAGAGCGGGGATTTCAGCCTACTGTTCAGCAGCAGTTAGAGCCGAAATCTCAACTAATAGAGCCAGAATATGAGTTACGGAAACAGTTAACCTACCTGTTCGAGAGAGAGAGAAAAAATCCACCCTAGCTCATCTCCATTTGCAGCGCTGATCCTGCTTACCTCAAATAAGGATGGGGGTTACATGATGTGTATCGACTATAAGGCATTAAACAAAATTACCGTCAAGTCGCGTTTCCTGATCCCGCGAGCTGATGAAGTGATGGACCAGCTTCGCACAGCGCATGCGTTTACAAATATCAGCTTGCGAGAGGGATACCATTAGATTAGGGTAGTTCTCGAGGAAAGTAACAAGTCTGCCTTTCAAAATTGCTAAAGTAGCTCTTTAGTAATGCCCTTGGCCTCACCAACACCCTTGTCACATTTCAGATGACCACAATCCATATTTTCCACCCGCTATCAGATAAGTGCAACACAGTTTATTTAGACAACATTTTAATTTACAGTATTACTCGGGAGCAGCATCTCAAGGACCTTGAAGCCATTTTCACAACACTACAGGAGCATGAGCTGCTCATGAAGTGGTCGAAGTGCGAAATGGCAATGGCCACGCTCGAGTTTTTGGGGCACGTTACTTCTACTAAGAGTTCGAAAGTAGGCTCGAAGAAGGTGGAAACATTGCAGAGTTTTATGGGCATCACTGATTACGTGCGGTGGTTTATTCCGAATATGGCAGGGGTCACTGCCTGACCTCCTTCGAGATGGGGTGGGGTACAGGTGGGGGGTGAAAGAGCAGGCTGCTTTTTTCGCCCTCAAATCCTGTTTATATTCACCCCCAGTCCTTAGCATAGCGGGTCCTCACCGTTCATTTGAAATTGTGATTGACGCGAGCGACATTGCTATTGGCACTATTCTGTTACAAGACTTCGGCGAAGGCCTATGACCAGTCACATATGAGTCGAGGAAGCTGCACCCGCCCGAACGCAAATACCCAATACACGCCCTATTTGAGTATAACCATTTTCTTGGGTCGCATTTTGGAACGTAGTGGAATATGACCTGTAGTGGAATATGACATGTAACTCCTCATGCTCATCCCATAATGGCAGACGTTTTGGAGTCGTCTCCACCATTTATGGCATACATGACATGACTTGAGTTGAACCAAGGGGCCGTTCGACAACACAGTGCGGAATGGCACAGGAAGAGGCGTGTGCGACGAACTTATGGGCAAACTGAATTTACTCACCCGAACGTACTCAATATCAATTGTCGTGCCCGAGCGGACTGAAAGAACTTATAGTCAAGATAAATAATTTCACTAGCCAAGATTGTATGACAGAGTAAAACAAACTTGCCAATACTCAATAGTGATGGCAAACTAACCGACCCTCGTTTATAGCATATTCGTGCACCTTCAACGAACCGTTGGGCAAAAAAACGTGTGCAATGAAATGCCTGAGATTCGTCTAGCTCATCAAGCACATTCCACTCATAGAGTGTCTCATACCACCCTTTTAGTATGGCAAGTGGCAAAAGAGTGGAAAATTTATTGGTGGCAAGCTCACGCGCTTTGGAGTCGGCATTTGATGTGGCACACATTTTGGGGTATGAGGTTTTGAAAATCTAAGCCTTAGCGACCTCGTCGCATTATGACGTCAGAGGTAGTAGGCGTCTGTTCGAGAGGTCCGGTTGTCGGATGAAGCTGAGCTTCTGCAAGCCAAAATTGGCTCAAAATGCCGATGAAATGTTTGCTGAGCTTCTGCACGGCCCCTAGGGTTGATATCACAGCTGCATTTTAAGGATTGTTAGTTCAACTTATCACCAATCCAATGCTCAGCCCAGTTCACTCCCTAAGGGCGTGTCGCAATCTGTAGGGTGGCTTCATGCCTATCCTATCCTCTGCTAGACCGACTATATTGTTGGTGCAACCCTATGGCTTGCACTCGGCTTGTCGTCCTTGTTTGTGTGTGTGCATGCATGGCATGGAATGAATTGTGAGTCTATGTCATTGCTATCCAGTCCTTGTGTGTGTGTTTGAATGGTGTGTCACTATGTGGTTTGTGTCGGTCAAGACATTAGCGAGTTTTTACAACTCGCATGTCAAGTCGTCGTTTGTGTGTCGCATGTGTTTTTTTCTATTTTGTCGAGTGTGAAGTGTCCATCATGTCGCAGGTGTGTGCAGCAAGCCCCCATCAACTCAAGAAGAATTTATCTTGCAGATCCAAGAACAAGAGCTCAAGATTTCAAGCCCAAGGGACGCGGATAAATATTAAATAGTGAAAATAGTAACGTTACTTCGTGTAGTGTTACATTTCACTTGGTGTAGCCCCTTGGAGGGTTGGTTTCGAGACTCTTCATGGTTGGGGACTCTGTGGTGGTGTACCACCAACCTGGACCTCGGCTCTTGGGGTATGTAGAGGCTGGAAACCATCTCCCTCTCAAATTCTTCTTCCTAAGTTTTTTGTACTCCTAAGACTATAGTGGCTGCTGTACCTCCTGCCAGTCAAACCGCCATAGCGTCGTCAATTCTTCATGGAATTTCATGATTCAACTTGCTGCTGATAGGCGACAGCATCGTGCTCCATATCCAATTTACAAATCACCGTTTGAGGAAGAGAGCAGATCGTTATCAATATTTGAAGCCGTCTGACGGAAATCCGACTGTGCTCTCTATCTCTCATTATAGGCACATCTGAGCCTATTGTGATAATAACAAGTGGTATCAGAGCCCCTTGGAGCCTTCTCGACCATGCCTAGACCTGAGGAAGGGGGTGGCAGAGGTGCTGGAGGCAGAGAAGACACCCAAGCACAAGGTCAACACCAAGATCCACCCGTTGCTCCGGTGCAACCTAGCCTTGGACCCTCTAGGGATGAGCCTAGAGTGTTTGGCCTTGACAAGTTCAACGGTGACAACTTTGCTGAGTGGTCCTTCAAGATGGAGAACATCTTTGACCACTATGATCTGCTGGAGGTGATGGAAGGAACAGAGAAGCGCCCCGAGAACGACCCGGAGAAGAGCCCGTGGGTGCGGAAGAGCGCACAAGGCTACCTTCTACTTGGGCAAGCGTTGGGGAGCAGCCAAATCTGTCACATCAAGCCTTTTCAGTGTGAACCAGCAAAGGGACCAAAGGCATGGGCTGCTCTCAAGGGTGTACACGCTCTTGCAACAGCGGTGGTGGCTGTGGTTTTGGAGCGGCAAATGGCGGCACTTCGAATTGACGAAGGCGAACCGGTGGAGGAAGGAGTGCAGAAATTCTTCGACTTATTGACACGGCTCGAAGGAGCTGACCTGAACTACAGTGACCTTCAAAAGAAGACCAAGCTGCTAGCCTTACTTTCGGACTCGTGGTCCTCGCTCATCATCAACCTTAATCGAGATCTGCCCCGTCTCTCACTCGAAGATGTGAAGCGGGAAATCTTACAAGAAGATTTCCGCCGTCGCGAATTGGCGGGTCCCGATGGTGCCGGAGTTGCAAGCATGGGCCGTGGGCACGGCCGTGGAAGGGGCAGAGGGCGAGGAGGAAGATTTGGCAGCAGTAACTTCAGTGGAGGCCGTGGTAATGGAGGATATGGCAGCAGCAACAACAATGGCTACGGGCGTGGGCGCGGTCGATTTGATGGCGAATGCCACTTTTGTCACAAGACCGGCCACATGTGGAGAGATTGCTTCAGATTGCCTGATGGATGGACCCCTTCTCAAGGCCAAGAGGGCAGATGAGCAAGGGGAGGAAGAGGCAGAGGTCGTGGAGGCCGTGGTGGCCGTGGAGGCGAAGCGGCAAGCATGAAAGGTGGAGACTACGACAAGGACTCGATACCCGGGCCAATTCTTCTTTGTCTCCACACAAGCGGCAGCTGCAGCAGGAGGTGTGGAAGGCTTTGAGGAGCCAGCAATTGTGGGAAAGGTCACCCTTCACTCTCTGGACTTTTGGGTGATCGATAGCGGCGCCACCTAAAGCATGACACCTCGTGCGGACTTGCTCACCGAACTCGAACCGTCGCCGGTCAAGCATGTTACATCGGCTTTGGGGCAGCGAGCAGAGGTGAAAGGCATGGGCAAGGCCATGTTCAAGGGTACTGATGGGAAGATGGTGGGCCTCAAGAACGTGCTTTGGGTGCCAAACCTTGCAGCCAACCTGATCTCTGTACGGCGTTTGCAAAAGGCCGGCATGAACACATCTTCCAAGGGCTCCAGAACATATACCGCGAGGCTTGGTGAGCGGAAGCTTTGGGACCTTCATGAGGACAGGGACATCTACAATGAGATGTGGCAAATCCCAGTGGTCCCCATGCCTAAGGGGAGGCAAGTGGCAGCAAGCGTCAGCACCAAGAGTGAAGCGATTGGTGGCGGTGATCACGGAAAACAAAGTGACACCAAGAGTGACTCGAAGGAGTGCAACCTTGGAGAGACCAGCAAGGCGTGTGAACCCAAGGAGAGTGGTGCAGCAGCCAAAGGTGGTGGAAATGAGGAGGCGAAGCCTAAGATCAGCAAAGCAGCAGCGGCAAAGGAGAAAGGAGAGAGCTTGTGGGGTACGATTGCGAGTGCCGCTTTCTCCAACCCGACTTCCGCTACGGGAGAGTGTGATTGGCTGACCTTGCATCGGCGAATGGGGCATGTGGCATTGCCCATTTTGCAGAAGATAGTTAAGCAGGAGATGGTCCGTGGGATACGTGTCAAGGGGGAGCCCAATGAGGTGCATGGCTGTCCAACATGCATGCAAGCCAAGTTCACCCGCTACCCGTTCCATAGCTCGGAGACAATGGCGAAGGCACCACTTGATGAGGTGGTGATGGATGTGGTGGGCCCCTTGAAGCTTGGAGCTGCTGGAGCTGAGTACTTCCTCACCATTGTGGACGTCTACACTCGCATGACTTGGGTGTATGTGCTGCCCAAGAAGAGTGACGTCGCTGAAACGGTGAAGACCGATTGGTTGCCGATGGTGGAGCGGCAACAAGACCGACTTGTGAAGGCGATTCGCACTGACCGTGGGGGAGAGTTCCTGAGCAAGGACTTCTCAACTTGGCTGAAGAAGCAAGGCATAAGGCACTCTCTCACCATGCCCTACTCTCCTGCAATGAACGGCATCGCCGAGCGTGCGAATCGGACACTCACGGAGACGGCTCGGGGACTTCTCATTGAAGCCGGTCTTCCCAATTACTTTTGGCCGGATGCGGTGCGGCATGCTTGTGTGGCCAAGAACAGAGCCTTGACTCATGTGGGAGAAGACAAATGGGTGCCCTATGTGGAGTGGATTGGAAGGAAGCCGAAGGTGGATATGCTTCGGGTGTTCGGGTGCATGTGCATGGCACTTGTGCCTAAGAAACTTCGGCACAACAAGCTTGATGCCAAGGCAACATGGGCCGTGCACCTGGGCATGGCTCAAAACAGCAAGGGATGGCTTCTTTGGGACCCATTTTCCAAGAAGTTTTTGGTGAGCAGAGATTGCAAGTTCATGGAGAACTTACCGTACAAGGAGTGGAAGGCGGAGAACCAAGCGAAGATTGGTGTGCGGCTTGGAGAGGTGAAGAGTAACGGCTTGGAGCATGTGGAGCTGCCCTTGGAGCTGAGTAGCAGCAGCACAGTCACGAGGCAATCTCCTCAAATGAATGGGGATGAGGAGGAGGAGGAGGTGCAGCAAGATGATGAGCGTGCACCGTCTCTTCCGCCTCGTGCTACAAGTGCTCGTGGGAACCGACCAGATTTACCGCACCGCCATGAGAGCATTCAAGTCCCTGCAGCAGAGGAGGAAGGAAGGGGGAGAAGGAGGACTCAGCCCCCTAATAGGTTGAGCTATGACCGGCTTGGAGGACCAGCCAACTCAACCTTGACCGGTTCGGCTCTCATGCTAGGCGATGATGCTGAAGATGAAAGCGAGGAGTGCGCCTTTGCCTTCTTCTCTCCGGTGGAGATGCCGGGGGAGCCTACAAATCCCAAGGAGGCTTGGGAGGGCCCCAATGGGAAGGAGTGGAAGAAGGCCTCAGATCAAGAAATGGGGAGCATCATCGAGAACGACACGTTTGACTTGGTGAACCTACCTCCGGGGCGTAAGGCGATCTCTTCCAAGTGGCTCTTCAAGCGCAAGACCGACGCCGACGGCAACATCGAGCGCTACAAGAGCAGACTTGTAGCCAAGGGGTATCAGCAGCAAGAGAAGAAGGACTACAATGAAGTGTATGCCCCTGTGGTGAAGGGTACAACCCTTCGAACCCTCTTCGCCGCGGCGGCCATCAAAGGATGGGTGGTGAAGCAAATGGATATAGTAACGGCCTTCCTCAACGGCGTTTTGGAGGAAGAAACCTACATGGAGCAGCCAGAGGGGTACAATGATGGGAGTGGCAGAGTGTGGAAGCTAAAGAAAGCACTCTATGGCCTCAAGCAAGCCCCTAGGCAATGGTACATCAAGCTGCGGGAAGTCTTGGAGGCGATCGGCTTCACTCCCTCAACGGCCGATCAATCGTTGTTCATGCTTGGCGAGGGGGAGCAGAGGAGCTTCATGGTGGTTTATGTGGATGACATCCTCATATTCTCACCCTCCTCTGACCTTGTGAAGGAGGTGATGCTGAAGCTTCAAGACAAGTTCAAGTGCAAGACCCTTGGTGACGTCAACTACTACCTTGGGCTTCACATTGAGCGAGATGTGGAGAAGCGGTGGATGCGAGTGCATCAAAAGAAGTACTTGGAGGCCTTGGCTGCAAACTTTGGGAAGAGTGAAGGTCATGTGGCTACTCCTCTTCCCTCAGGGTTCAAGTGTGTGAAAGGACCAGCGGAGGAAAGTGTTGGTGAAGAGGAGAGGCGCCGTTTTTACTCCTTGGTGGGCAGCCTCATGTATGCGGCCGTTCACACAAGGCCGGATGCAGCCTGTGCTACCGGGCAGCTGGCTAGGGTTGTCCAATGCCCAAATGAAGAGCAGGTAGCAGCTGGAGAGAGAGTGGCCAAGTACCTTGGCCAAACAACAACTGTTGGACTGCAATACTCCGCGGCGGCACAAAGGCGTCAAAAGGGGGCGGATGGAGTCGAACTCGGGAGGCTCTTTCTCACCGCCTTCTCTGATGCATCTTGGGCATCAGAACCAGAGGACATGACAAGTGTGGGAGGCTTCATCTGCTGTGTTGGTGGAGGCCCAGCAGCTTGGGAGAGCAAGAAACAAGTGGACCAAGCATTGAGCTCGGTGGAGTCCGAGTACATGGCACTCTTCCGTGCCATAAGAGAGGTTGTGTGGCAGCGGCGTTTGCTAGCTGAATTGGGGGAGGAGCAGCAAGGACCTACCCCACTGTACTGTGATAGCCAAGGTGCTATTGCATTGGCTAAGAACCCCGTTCTTCATGGCCTTACCAAGCACATGAAGGTGAAGTGGCATTGGGTGAGGAGCATGGTAACCACGGGTGAAGTGGAGTTGCACTACGTGAAGACGACGGCGCAACCAGCTGATATGATGACCAAGAGGCTGGTTGAGCAGCAGTATTGGAAGTGTTGCAAGCTTGCGGGGATGGCTCTGAACTAAGGGGAGCAGATTCTAAGGCCAACAATCCGAGGGGGAGTTTGTTGGTGCAACCCTATGGCTTGCACTCGGCTTGTCGTCCTTGTTTGTGTGTGTGCATGCATGGCAAGAATGAATTGTGAGTCTATTTCATTGCTATCCAGTCCTTGTGTGTGTGTTTGAATGGTGTGTCACTATGTGGTTTGTGTCGGTCAAGACATTAGCGAGTTTTTACAACTCGCATGTCAAGTCGTCGTTTGTGTGTCGCATGTGTTTTTTTCTATTTTGTCGAGTGTGAAGTGTCCATCATGTCGCAGGTGTGTGCAGCAAGCCCCCATCAACTCAAGAAGAATTTATCTTGCAGATCCAAGAACAAGAGCTCAAGATTTCAAGCCCAAGGGACGCGGATAAATATTAAATAGTGAAAATAGGAACGTTACTTCGTGTAGTGTTACATTTCACTTGGTGTAGCCCCTTGGAGGGTTGGTTTCGAGACTCTTCATGGTTGGGGACTCTGTGGTGGTGTACCACCAACCTGGACCTCGGCTCTTGGGGTATGTAGAGGCTGGGAACCATCTCCCTCTCAAATTCTTCTTCCTAAGTTTTTTGTACTCCTAAGACTATAGTGGCTGCTGTACCTCCTGCCAGTCAAACCGCCATAGCGTCGTCAATTCTTCATGGAATTTCATGATTCAACTTGCTGCTGATAGGCGACAGCATCGCGCTCCATATCCAATTTACAAATCACCGTTTGAGGAAGAGAGCAGATCGTTATCAATATTTGAAGCCGTCTGACGGAAATCCGACTGTGCTCTCTATCTCTCATTATAGGCACATCTGAGCCTATTGTGATTATAACATATATTGCAATCACGTAAATGTTTCCATGATAACATCAGCACTCTTAGTCATTTTTGCAGCACTCAAGATGACATTTGCACACAAAAGAAGGGGTCGTTTTCAGAAGCGATGAGAATCATTCCAACTGAAACAGGGCTAGGGATTTGAGGGCATTTCACTCTGATAACCATTGCTAGCGGTCGTTTTGGCTAGCGGCTGTTTTTTGGAAGGGCATTTGTTCTATGACCCAATCTAAAAAAATGGAAGGAATTTTCTACCCTACAATCGTTACGGTGCTCTGCATTTTACGCTGACCAGCCACGGATCGTCGAAAAACACCCTAATACCAAAAACCACAAATCCCCAAGATTCGATCTCTCTGTCATGCATTGGCGTCCCTGCAATGCCTTGCTGGGACAACAAAGGGGCAATTTCCGAAGCCACCTGTGCACAACCCTACTAGCAGAGCAGCAAGACATAGTTCTCTACTAGGAGAAAACCACATGCACAACTGGCCTTGTACTCTAGCCAGAGGGAATCCTACCGCATCCAGAGAAATCCACATGCACAATCTGCTGTCGATCGTGGCCAACGAAGGGAACCTCTCCCCTAACATGAAGTGGATGAGAAATCTAGGCGACACCTCAATGCTCTGCATGTGGGGTTGTGTAGTCTAGTACAGACCCGAAATTGCAATGACAGGCAAGCTCGAGGGCCGTGCACGCTGGGGGGTGCACCTTGAGTCCAGTCTCGGGCACAAATTGCGGAACATCCTCGATTATCAAACGTCCAAGAGTGTTCCTTCCTGAGACATTCTCTTCTACGAATGGCTCACTCTCAATCCGTTTCATACTTATCATGTTGCTACGACTGCCATCGACTACACGCATAGAGAGCGGAGCTTTGCGAATGTTGAAGACAAAGTAGCTGCAGCAGTACTCGACGTTGACCCACCTGACAAGAACCTTGGACCTGATTCAAGGTTCTCATACGATGACAGTGGTGGCGATGACGACAACGCACTACTCGACCTGTCACGCGACACTCAGCACCATAAATCAACCATCAACGCTCATCTAGACGGACTAAAAAAAAAAAAAAAAAAAAAAAAAAAAAAAAAAAAAAAAAAAAAACGCTCATAAAAAAATAAAAACACATCGCAAACCTTCAAATTACACAGCAACAACCAGGCTGCAAGCAAGCTGGGCTTCGTGAACCACGTGAAAAGCACTGCGTTACTTTTTTGTCAAGGGCAAGATAAATCTCATATGTTGCCCCACTGGTGACATGGCAGCCAACTTCTTGACCAAGAAGCTGCCATTCAGCAGCATCGGCATTTCGCTGACCTTTGGAGCATCACCAAAGGTGCATAGACCTGTTACATTCAGAAATAAAGGTGGGTGTTATGACAAGGAAATGTTTTAACATTCCTAGAAGTAACACGTGAAGTGTGACATCCTCGTTGGGCACGTTATGTCCCCTATCGGTTATTTGTCATTAGTAGTTGTCATTCTCCACTGTGGCGGAAAAAAATGTCAGGATGTTTGGCACTAATCAGGGTTTTAGGCTTTCCAACCACGGTACATAAAGTCTTGATGTTTAATGGTGGTACGCTTTGGGAGGGGCACATAGTGGATGTGTTCACAGCGCTAAAATCCACAATAGTATACAGGATCTAACTTATTGCCAAAAGATATACAAAGAGTACATCCGGACAATTGTTTCCCAGGACAAAGAGCAAACTTCTGAACAATGTTTCTAGTACCTAGTCCACCGACCCTTGGCCTTGATCACCACCCGCAACCTTCTACGCATGTTATCTATAATGTTAGTGCAAACTGTTGCAGGGATATTCTAGCACTCTTCCTGGACCCACCCTTTTGCGTAAGGGGGTGAGCACTAGCTAGGTTATAACCAACATGTCTAACCTAACTAGATAAAAGTATAAGTTTGTTGACACACCCCATAACCTAGGTAGAGGCAGCATTTAAGAAACTAGGGCAGCACTACTAGTCTGACCACTGAGACAAGAGGACACAAGGCCAGTCAGCAAGTGTAGCAAGACATGCAGGTGTAGAACAGCAAGTATAAGCTGGTATTGTGTATATAAGGATACAAGGAGTGGACCTGCTACTGAGAATAGACCAAGCTGAGTACAAAACCACTGATGGTCACGAGACGCTAGTACCTTGGTGAAGATATCAGCAGTGTTGGCCTCTGAGGCCACCTGTACTACACGAGCCTGACCGCGCTGCTGCAACTCACGCAACAGGAAGTACCACAGTTGGATGTGCTTTGCCCTGCCCTCAAGTCAAGCCTTTTAACACAAGAGGATCATGGCCCTATTGTCATCAAACAGGACCGGGGCAGACCTAGGCGGCTCACCTAAGTCAGTGAGCAAGAACGTCAGCCAGCGGAGCTCTCGAGCGGCCATGGCCCCAGTGTAGATCTTCGCCTCACAATTGGACTGAGCTGCAAACGACGACCTAGTGGACCTCCACGAGATTGCATCAGAACTAAGACTAAAACAGTAGCCCTGTGAGGAGCTGAACATCTCCATGTCGTCAGCCCAGGACGCGTCTGTGTGTTCAGTGAGCACCACTGGCTCCTGTCCTCCTAGTACATGCCCCAGTCTTGCTGTACTCGCCAGATACCATAGCATGCTCTTGGCAGCCGACAAGTGGAGTGGTCGGTGCCTGCCTGTTGGAAAAAAGCGAGCAAGAATAGTGAGAGGGTACGCTAGATCTGATCGAGTGGAGGTCATCAGGTACATGACGCACCCCACCTGCTCTGCGTATGGACCACTAGGCTCGGTCGACTCAGCCGGAACATGAGCAGAGAGCTTGTGAACAACAGACAGAGGGGTGGGCTGTGCTGAGGAGAAGTGGAGACTAAACCTCTGGAGGATCTGCTGCACCTTATGGGACTGGAAAATTGTCATCGTGCGAGTTGCATTGTCACGAGAGATCTCCAAGTGTAGATAATGTCTCAGCTCCCCCAGGTCAGTGCATGTGTACCTTCTAAGTAACTCGGCCTTCATTGAGGCCAGTGCGTCTCTGTCAGGAATACCAAAGTCAAGATCATTTATGTACACTAAGATGTAGATCGGGGTCTGACCAATACGGACAAATAGCGAGGGGTCAGTGTTGGTGCATATTCGTTTGCACATCATCCTGTCGTTTGTTCGCATCATTTCGTTTGCATGTGTTTCGTGTGTTACATTGTTTGTGTGGTTTGTTGGGTTTGCATGTGTTTGCACGTTCATCTTGTTCCTGTGCAGATGTGCTTGGATTGTGCATGACATTGAGCACATTCCAACGAGCCAATAATTGTTGGAATCGGAGCATATACTATATGAAGAAACGTGGGATGGATTTGTTACAACTTATTGGAAGTCCTTGGCAGCTTGTACACCAAATTTTGAAGAGCCCTATAAAGAGGAGGGATCAGCATGTGTGGGACTTTTGTCCTCACCTTGCAACTGCAGCATTTGGGGTTTGGATGCCAACTTGGCACAGTGTGGATTTTGTCTTGCCAAGCTGGTTGAACTTGAGGATGGGGAGTCAAGACTTTGACTCTTATCATGTTCTTGACCAAAGGCCTCCAGGGTCCTTCCATTTCATTCTTCCCCATCTTCCAACTATGCTTCAATGTTTCCATCATGCCTTTGAACTTGAAAGCTTCAATGTTTGTGACTCCGAGGACTGTCCATTCCTCTTAAGGCAGCTTACACCCCAGTGCGCCAAACGCCATAGCTCACTCGCTAGGTTACGGAATCGAGTGATTTAACTTGCATTGGAAAGCATGAAGTTGCAAGCTACAACATTAATTTTTCAATTCAATGTTTGGATATAGCTTTTTTAAGGTCTCGAGTTTTCTGGGCGTCATAACAAAGTGCTGCAGAATTTTCTAAGGAGCTGTTGAATCATATGATAATAGCCTTCTCTCACCAACAGCTGGTATCAGAGCCTATTATCACGCATTTTGGGACCTAAACTATGATGGGAGATAAAAAGGACTCTGTGAGGGTGATACTTCAGCCCAAGGAGGCAGATCAACCCAAGATTCTGGCATTGCAGCGCATAGGGGAACCCGTACAAGCCAGGGATCACTGCTTAAGGAGGTGCTGAAAAAATTCACCGTTGAGAAGTTCCCTGGAGATGGCTATGATGATTGGGCATGGAAGAGGCAGCTCTACTTTCGACAAATTGGACTCTTGAAGCTCATGATTGGAATGGAG